CATAGCATAACATAGCATAACATAACATAACATGACATAACATAACATAACATAACACAACACAACACAACATAACATAACATAACATAACATAACATAACATAACATAACATAATGTGATATCATACCGTATCACACAACATACCAAAACAGAAGATGATCTAATAGAACACGATCCTAACACAAGTTGTTTTGGGTTCAGGGGGAGTTCGGCGCTTGCGATTTCGGGATCTTCGGACCTGTTCCAATGGGCTCGAGCTTGAAGGAGCCTTGGGGGTTTCCTGAAAGGGGCCACCTCGTGACTTCAGGGTTTAGGGTTTAGGGCCGTTTGGGGTTTGGGGTTTAGGGGTTAGGTTTAGGCCTGGGTTTCGGGTTTTAGGCTTTGGGGCCTGGGGTTTAGAATGCTCCGCTTTCCCGGGATCTCGCCTTCTTCTCCAAGTTGCTCCCTTTGACAACAGCGCTGTACTCCGATTCGAAGATCTGCTTGATGCGAGCGATGGGAACTATCCACAAGACGCCCTTGAGGGTGAGTGTGATGGCAAGGATGGCAATGCCACCATCCGTCGTCACCTTGCCCTTGTGGTACGGAGTGTCCTGGGATGCCCACATCATACTTCAGGTAGCGGGTTAACCCAACCACATTCTACCGATTTGGGTGGAAACCCAAGAAGCCAGAATCCGAGAACCGGAAAAGCTCAGAAAAACTCACCTCGAAACCCTGAACCCTTTTTGGAAGACCCCTGAGTTAAAGAGGCAGCCCCAGCGTCTTTCATCGCAATGAGCCGGCAGAAAATCCAGTACCAGGCACTGAGCACCGAATCAAAAGCCATCTCTCCTGGTGGTTTGCTGTTTTCTTTTTTCTGAAGGGGGGAGGAGAAGGGGGGCGTATAGGAGTTAAAACCTTTAGAAGGATGTCTGGGGCTTCGTAGGGTGTGGGATTCGAGGTTTAGGGTTTTGGGATTTTGGGATTTTGGGTTTGGAATTGGGGTCCAAGATGTGGGTTTTGGGGTTTTATTTTCTGCTGCACGACGTACCAGTAACACGAGTGCAAACGACAAGCGCACATGCTCATGTTAGGGATACTTGTGGATTCTCATCCTAAACTGCCCTAAAACCCCGCAGCTTTCAAACCCTACACCCCAACCCTGTGCACCCCAAGCCCTGACCCTGAAACCCTCAGCCTCATCATGTACTTCAACATACTATGATATACTGTAGTATACGATAATGCATCATAATCATAGTCACCGTATCCTGCTGAAGGTCGCTGGTGGCCGCTCCTATGCCCTCTGACACCCAACCGACCTGCAAGAGCGTCCGAAAACTTGAGCCACCCAGCTTAGGGTCTAGGGAATTCGGGATCCTTCTTTGGGCATATACTTCAAAACAAACTCTTTCGCGCCCATCTAAGAGACCCACCGTTTTTCCGGCGACTCCCACATAGGAGCTCCTGTCCACTTAGGGTCAGGCAACTCCTAGCAGGTTCCGCATGGATCTGTGCCCAATGATACGGCGGAAACAGCACAGGCTCCGCATGGATCTGTCTAGGATGATACAGCGGAGGCAGCAGGAGGCGGCACGGATCTGTCCACATTAAAACCAAACACGAACGGACACGAAAGAGCGGCAAGGACCCTCAGAGGGATGCCAAGTCCCTACGTAGAACCCGACGTGATTTTCCAACAAGGCCCGACTATCTCTAATAACTCTAATACTGGTCTGGGAGCAGCATGTCTCCCCTAAACAAACCAAGGCTCAGCAGTAAACAAATGCTCTTCAACCTACGACCCCAAAATCCAAAGTATGGCGTATCACAGGGCTTATCTCACCCTAACCCCCCCCCCCCCATAAAGACCCGGCAAAAATCCCCGAAACACCTTTTTGGGCCGAGCTTCCGTCGTTCTCTTCGAACTCCTGGAGCAGGCAACCGGCTATGAGAGCAACGAGCTGAATCAGCACGAAGAGGATGGCCACCATGCCTCAGCTCTTGGTGGGGGATGAAGAGCTGCTTCGGGGGTTTAGTTTAGGACTTTGGGGTTTAGGGGTTTAGGGGTTTAGGGTTTAGGGTTTAGGGGTTTAGGGGTTTAGGGTTTAGGGTTTAGGGTCTAGTCTAGGATTTGGGGTTTAGGGTGTAGGGCTGGGGTACTCAGGGGATCTTACCGGGGGCTTAGGGTCTCGGATTCAGGGTGTAGTTGAGTTAGGATGCCATATTCATTAAACACGAGTCGTCGTCGCCGTCGTAGTATGATTAGCAGTAGCAGTAGCAGTAGTAGTAGAGTAG